AGGCATTTCTGTGCTGCTGCCCCTGCCCCCGGGGCCAGCGCTGCTGTCCTGACCCACAGAGAATCAGCCCTGGGAGCGATGCTGCGCTCCCTGCCCTTCGCGGGCACGCGTCCTGCCCGACGGGCTAAACCCTCGCCCTCATCCTCCTCCTAGGACAAAACCAAACCATCGAGTATTTTACACCTGAAATAGACCAATTTCAGGGGACAGAGATCCCGCGCTCCGTTCCAGAGCAGCCCGCAGCTGGGCGTTATTCTTGCTCTTCCCAGGACAGGCTGCAAATACTCCTGCACCGAGGCAGCTTTCGAAGCACTGCGAGGTAGATACAGCCCTGACCCTCTGCATGGAAGCAGCAGCCTGTCCTCCAGAGGAAAGCATGAACAAGGATGGCTCCACTGCTCCCCTCAGGTTGTTTTTTTTTCCTCTTGTCACAGTCTACGCATACCAGTAAGCAGCGAGAGACATCAAGGGGTGTGAATGTTAAGTAGAGGGAGGCCTCTCCTGGTTTTATCGGGTAATGCACCAAAACCCCCAAACAGACAAGACCCCTACCCTAAGCATCCTCCCAAGCATCCCTAAGCACCCTCCCGCTCTCAGCCGCTGCTCCCTGAACTGCAGGCTTCAGCAGACCCCTGTGCGGGGGCAGTGGTACCTGCAGAAGCCATCCCAGCAACCAGGGCATCACCAGACACCCATCCAACACCACCACCAGGACAGCGGGACTTGAAACGGAATCGATTTACAGTTCTACTGGTGTTGCTTAGTACTAGGTCTCGTGGGTAGGGAATGCTCATACGCCATTGAGAAGTCACTTCAAACACAGAGGCCGCAGGACAAGGCGAGCGCAGGTGCCATGCCGGTGTTGGGCAGTCCACGCAGCACGGATCCACGCTTAGAAATACAACAGCGGTTACAGACTGCTGCCTCAGCCTGTTCCAACAAAAGAGGAGCTTAAAGCATCACCAGACAATACTGTATTTATTTCCAGTTGAGATAACTGACACTCAGTTGTTTCCTGTCCTGAAATTAACCAGAGTTTCATTTATTTATTCACTGTGCTCAGCTCAAAAAAACACAGCTCTTCTAAACATCAATGCTATGCAAGTTACAGCACACTTCTGAGCAACCTGATATTTTTCTGCCTCTGTCACTGTGGACATGTGGACAACAGAGAGAATAAACAATCTTGCACTCATTTAGAGATGACCTAATACAAAAAAAAACCCAAACCAAAAAAACCAAACCAACCAAAACACCACCAACCACCTTTACTTCCAGTTTGCTTCTGTTAAAGAAAGTTAAAAACCAACCCTGGGCTCAAGCTCCTTCATTTCAGATCCCAAAGAAACACACGCACGTCCTTGTTGCAAAGAACAGATGACATCTTGTGCTTCTACCTGCCTCTCAAAGCCCGAGGTTCGCTATTTTTTATTATCCCATTTCTTTCTTTTTACCATAAAAAGCCCAAGCCTGACTGTCTGATGGTGCCCTTTTTTTTGTGGAAAAGCACAAAAGTGTTTTAAATGAAGTAGCCTTACTTCGTGTTACTTTGCACTATCAATTTTCACTCAACCTGAGACGTGACGCTAAGACCAGAAAAGTTTAAGCGCTTCACAAAGTGAGGAGATAAATGCACTGCCTCCAGCCCACCCAAATCCATTTTCTGCAACATGCACTCAACTTTTTTTACCATTTGTAAAGGAAGTCCTGCCAATCCCACCAAGTACATGCCTTAACTGATAAGGCTATTTAAGTAGGCAGGAGGCATTAAGTGAGGCATTCAGCAGGGGTCGGAAGGGCTCAGAGGGAAACTGCACCAAGAGATTTGTAGAGATTTGCGGCAAAATACTGGCCCTTCTGATGAGGAGCTTTGCAATGTGGTGTAACACATACCTACTCTGAAAGTAATTTTTCACATATTAGTCAAGATGAGCCTTCCCATACATGAAAAAGACAACGTAGTTCTTGAGCAACAACCGCACAAACAGAGAAGCATTGTGACCACCTTCCTCGTGGCACCTTTCTACTGCTATAAATCATCTACTGAATTCTGCCTTGCTGATTTGTTGCTACTCCACAGGAAGCGTGCTCGGAAGTATTTTGTTGCAGCTAAGAGGACACTTCCTAGTTACTAACGTTTTCGTAATGCTTTACATTTCAAATAAATTACAGGTTTCTGTGATTGTTCTGCAGTGCAATAGCAGCAGTAAAGGGCACGGCAGTGAAAGGCTGCCAACTAATACTGCCTGTGTAAATTACGTGTTTCTGACGACTGACAGACAAACCCTAAAAGTAAAATCGGAATTATGGAAGCCTACGGCAAACACAGCAGCTATGTATCGTACCCAGTGGGACACCACGGACCCACAATGCAAGAGAGGCAATATACATTATGGCTGTTGCCTTATTATAGTACTTTTTAGCAACTGGAGCTTGACGTTGCTGTTGTGCAATACGAATGGTGTACACGGTTCCCTACAGCTTAGTGCGTTAATATCCATAACAGGCGCGGGAAGCGCTCTCTGTGGGAACCCCATTGCTACGAATATCCCCCACTTGCAGATACTTCCCCACTTGCAGATACTTCGACAACCATTCAACGCAGGTTTGTTTCCCAAAGAGAACACAACAAGTCACTTAACAGCTAACGCCTCTGTGTTTTGACACAAATAACCCCTCACTGTGTGAACCCGAACCAGGTATCCCAACTTTGACTTAAAAGACTCGCATTTGTTTTACTTTGATGGGGGAGATAATCGCGGATGGGAAACCGCCTTCCAAGCCCCGCCAACCCCCTTCCATGGAACAGCAGTACACAGGGCACGGAGAGGAGCATCAAAGCTCCAATCCTGAAGGCGCCTCCCTAAGGAGTTTGCTCTCAATGGCAAAAACAACCCGGGCAGCCAGAATTAACAGTGACAGGTCCCCAGATCTGTGCAGCCAAGTCCAACTGCAGGAATTCTTCTTCTGCTCCGAGAAAACCACAGATATCTTCTTGCAAGCAGACAATCCAAAAGCCCTGACAGCACCTACTTCTGACACAGACCTTTGGATAATCTGCTCAACCAAACACGGCTAAAATAGGCCCAATGAGTCAGCCCTGACATGTACACCTACAAACTAATGGGAAACTAAACAAAGAATAACCAAACAAAAAAGGACAGTAGGACAGAACACCCACTCAAGACATCAAGGAGAGAGACAACTGCACTGATGACTCTGACTTCAATTCTTTTTCACTCATCTCTGCACACGGAACCACTAGAAGAGTAATTAATAATTACCCGTGGTTTAGAAACATACTTTACAAGAACATTACAAGACCAACCCGTCAGCCACTTGAGCTCAGTTCTTACTCTCCTGATGTCATCAGCACTGTCACCATCACCTTCATCTAGCTGCAGAGTACACCTGGGCATAAGCCACAGAATGTTACAAGCCTAAACATGTACAAAAAAACTCAATCCTTTTTGTCATTATTCAAATAATTAAACATTTGGTTTTGCAAAATAAATTTCTCCATTTAGTGACATGAACAGTTAATTCTTTAAATAAAAAAAAGTCACCTTATGTGTGCAATAGCGTTTGATGCAGGGCTGCACATGAATTATGGTAATGGCTTCTACACAGCACACGTTCTCAGTGCACAAATGCTACAGAAGGCATTTCATACATGCTGTTAAATCATTAAACAATAATTTCACCATAGCACAAAAAAGGAAAAGCATCAAAGAATAAGACTGCTCAGTGGCTCTACTATTTACCAACCATGTTGACAAATTCAGTATGGTATAATGTTATTTACCTTGTTGTAGCAAGGCACCGAAAAAAGTTCACTTCTTACAGGGGTTGTTCATTTATTTTTCTCAAGAGGCAAAGAAAAGAAGCAACCAGGAAAGTAAACAGCTGTGTGTTTTAAGACTTGCAGGCTGCTTAAACAGAGCCGAAAAGGGGCAAAAATAAAAAGGTAGGGGGAACCAGTCACAAAATACAATAAAGCTCTCTTGCAAAGCACTGAATTCCCAGCGCAGCTTCAGTTTTCAGGGAAGTAGCTATAGCTATACATGCTGTAACAAGTATGAGACAAAAAATGTCAAAACAAAACAAAACTAAAAAAACTAAACCAAACCAACCTGCATATGCACTGCTTGAACTTCCTTTGTCAGAGAGTTGTCTCAGAGAGTAAATAAGCTATCTGCTCAGATGCTTTTGGAAATGGAGATAAAATAGTCCACATAAAAGAGCAGACACTTTTCAACAATACCCGAAGAGAGTCTCACACAGTCTCAACCATTTCAATCTCTTCCCAAGCACTAGTTCTCGTAGACCCTTGCGTGATTTGCTTCAGCTACCCTATGTGAAAGAGAGCACTGCCACAGCAATCCCAGTCCCCCTGACCCAGAGAAACACTCCTGAGAGACCAAGAGGAGCTTACCCATCGCTGTCAACAGGAAAGGAACTGCGGAGTACGTTACTCAATGAACTCCATCCTTGAAGCCTAACAACTAATCAGCAAAGGAAGGATATTTTCCCTTCTCATACACCACCCCTTTTCTACCAGTACGTTCCCTGTCTTGTAACCATCAATCCCAGAAGTCTGACATGTGACAAAACACACATTGCTTGACTACAGCTTTGAAAGGAAGACCCAGGTATTAAAGCCCATTATTGTGCAAACAAGTAGCAGTATTTAGATGTCTCAAACACATCTACCACCTAAGAAACACCATTGCCTCATTTCTCTTACCCTGGTATTTGCCTATGGGGAACGGTGACAATGAAGAACAGTACACATACACACCCTGCCAAGTCATGAAGCAGCCCCAACAACGAGACTCAGCTTTTGGGGAGAGCTAGCTGGTACATCTCCTGTCTGACCAAGGGAAGGAAGACCATGGATGCCACAAGGTTGTAGAGCAGACACGGTCCCCGTTCCAGAAAGCTGCAGGGCAGATGCTTCGTGAGGTGCGCCCAAGGGTCCCGAGCAGGCAGGCACTTACTTCTGAGGGGCCGCTGCCGCCAGTCCCGCTGCCTCCGCCGCCTGCGCCTCGAACTCCTCCCGCCGCAGCACATCCCCGGAGCCACGGAAGCCCAGCTCCACCAGCTGCCGGCAAACCTCCTCGCTCTGCGGGAAGAAAAAGATGGGCAGGGAGCCTTGTTAGTGCCAGGGCAAAGGGAACATGCCCCCCACCACTCCCACCATCACCAGGACACGGTGGGGGTCACCCACCGGCCTTACTTCTGGGGGGCCGCTGCCGCCAGTCCCGCTGCCCCCGCCGCCTGCGCCTCGAACTCCTCCCGCCGCAGCACATCCCCGGAGCCACGGAAGCCCAGCTCCACCAGCTGCCGGCAAACCTCCTCGCTCTGCGGGAAGAAAAAGATGGGCAGGGAGCCTCGTTAGTGCCAGGGCAAAGGGAACATGCCCCCCACCACTCCCACCATCACCAGGACACGGTGGGGGTCACCCACCGGCACAGGTAGCTCAGAAAAAGGGAAGTAATGAGCACAACACCCCTTGAACCAGCAGTGCTGGGGAACCAGGAGCTGCTCCTCAGGCAGGGCTGCCGACACCGGTGGGCTCTGCCATGGTCCAGTATGGCTCACGCGTGCGGCGACAATGGATGAGCACCAGAAGGGACGGGGGTACTCAGGATGGTCAACGCCGCCACAGGCATCCCGACCACATCACAGGCGGCAGCAAACCAATCTCAGCAGCTTCTCACCCACCTTCCTCTGCCTGCACCCCACCCAGGGAACGACCTGCACTCCTGCTTCTATACCTCCAGCAGGAAACCAGTTCCCCAATTTAAACTAACACCCCTGCAGGAAAGTAGCACTAACAAGCTCTGGGGGTGAAGCATTTCCTCCAGCTGAAGCCAGGGCACCTGATAAGCCCCGACAAGCAAAGCACCCCAAAAACCACCTCCGGCGAGCTCTTCCCAGGCTGCCAGACTCGGTCCCGGCTTCTTAAAGCCGCGCAGGGATGGGTGGCTGATTTGGGAGCACACACCTGTAAGCAGTACCACCCATGTCCTCAGCATGAGACAGAAAACCTCTCGTAACTTTCCCTAAAGTGTTCCCCACCGAGCAACGCGCACCATTCTTTTTAGAGGTCATAATCTCAGCAGTCAGCACCCTTCGGATCATAGAATGGTTTGGGTTGGAAGGGACCTTAGAGGTCACTTCTGCCCAGGAGTGTCCTGGGGGGACACCTCCCACCAGACCAGGCTGCTCCAAGCCCCGTCCAACCCGGCCTTGAACCCTGGAGTGTCTCTGCGATGCGCCTTGCTCACCCACGCACATCCCTTGGCGTGATTCACCCTAAACACAGCGCTTCGCAAGCACTGCACAAGATGCTCTCCCCAGTTCCTGCTAAGAAGAGGGCCAGCACTCGCCCCAAGCCTCCTCTGCACCCCAAAGCCACCCCACCGCCTTCGCC